GGCAAGGAGCAGAAACACTCATCTCACTCCCACAGAGGGCCTGGTGGATTCGAGCTGCTAACTGCAGGGTTCGCAGCCAGATTCTTAACCACTACACTACCAGGCTTTGCACCTTTAAGATGGTGGATCGGGTAGACGTGTGGTGAGGAGCTCTGCCAACAACAACACGGAATACCAGGCCAACAGAGCTCACGAGATGGTGTTGGAACTCTGAAACAAATATAAAGGTATGTTTGGAGGATTGGAGGGTTTACTGCTGGGGAATTTGCAGGAGAATCCAGAAATCCACTATTTTCTGGATCAAGACATTCAGCTGTTCCCGGAGCCACCATCTTGGGAGAGAATATCTTGATTGTATCAGGACTGACAGTATCAGGAGAGAACATTTTGATAGTAACTTGATTATATCAGGATTGTATCAAGATTGACATCGAAATTTAAAGTAACAGTATCAACATAAAACCAAACGGCCACCACGTGTCTGTCTGTCGTGCTGTGGTGGATTGAGTTGCTGTGATTCTGAAGGTTCTGCCACCGGCATTTTAAATAACCAGCAGGGTCACCCATGGTGGACAGGTTTCAGATGAGCTTCCAAACAAAGACAGACTAGGAAGAAAGAGTGACAAACTACTTCTGAATAACTAGTCACTGAAAACAATGAATAGCAGAGAAACACTGTCAGATACAGGATCGGAAGGTGGAAAGACACTCAGAATGCGACTGGGGTAAAAAAAATGCCTCCTCAAAGTGGAGTTGACCATGATGATGTGAATAGAGTTAAGCTCGGGGGAGAAAAGTGCACAGAACCTTCATTTGCTGATGGGCCACAACTTAAAATGAAGAAAAACAGCTATAAACATCCATTGAAAATCGGAACGTGGAATGTACGAAGTATGAATCTAGGAAAATTGAAAGTTGTCAAAAATGAAATGGAACGCATCAACATCGATATCTTAGGCATTCGTGAGCTGAAATGGACTGGTATTGGCCATTTTGAATCTGACAACCACATGGTTTACTATGCAGGGAATGACAAATTGAA